AAAGGGCGGTTAAGATACCCCGGTTCCGGTTTACGGGTACGAGTATCGCCATTTTGTTTACCAATTTTTGCTGATGTCAGCAATTTTACCCGTAATTTCTACACGTTTACCCGCGGTAAACTGTGGTCTGCACGTAAAAGACAAACGGGTACGGGTGTTTCCTGTTTACTATTTTTGGGCCGTTTAAATAGTACACATTTTCAACATCTTACCCAAATAAATAATGCACATATACTGGTCAAAGCTTTTAACAATTTATGGCGAACCTCAACAGCGAAAGTTGCCATTCTCTGATCGGTTTTCTCACGCCGGAGTATCTTGGATTCCTTAAGTTACAAGCTATTCCCCGATTTACGGGTGCTAACCAGCCCGGTTTTGTGAGACCTCGCCTTGTGCAGGTGAAACCCTTTTGTAGTTCATTAACGAAATTCATATTTATATAAGCTTTATACTGACCTTTTTTAATATTTTCCCAATGAATATTGATGTAAGCATCCCTGTCGGGTCTCGATTGCTCATGCCAGAAACCCAAAGCATGACCTAAAAAAAGCATATGGGATAAGACTCGATGATGATGATTATGATGAAAATGCGAGAAATCCCCCCCCCCCCCCCCCCCCCCCCCGTCGACAACACGGAATTTTTTTTTGATAAGTCGGGCATAATGGGAAAAAAAGGTTGGGTAAATTTGTTTCTGCCCCCTTAATCTTTTCCCTCTCGTACGCCCATGGGTACATTATATTAACTGACCGATCTCGTGCACCACTGTTCCTTTCCCCCAGCAGCCAGGATCCAAGTTGATTGTCTGCATTTTATTACCATTTCTTCCTACACCATTTGACCAACATCTAATGATAAGAATATACACAGAATTATTATATGGCTTTCAAAATTCTCTATTCTGATTGGTTGACAAACGGTCCGTAAAAACCCATTCCGGACCGTAGTCCGTATTTAATTTTCCGTATCTGGACCGGTGTCCCAGATGTCGTTTATCTGGCGGAAAATTTTTGCTTTGCAAACAGAAAAATTTTTTGCTTTTTAATTTTCCAATTGTGTGTCATTCAAATTTACATATAAAAATTTCAAACAACCAAATTGTTTTTGATTAAGCATGCATCCCTACCGTATATTGTTACCCAGTGAAACTGACGATAGCCCACTTAATTCGCGCGAAAAGCATACGCTCACAGACTCAGTTCAGCCATATAATAAACCGATTATTGACCTCGCTTGTTCGGTCTGCACTGTGAAATATCAGACCTCTGTTTTTTGCATGGACCTCGCTCCTTCGTCGCTGGGTCCATACTAAAAAACCTCGGTCTGATATTTCACAGTACAGACCTCACGTTCGGTCAATAAGCCGTTAATACTACATGCTGCCAAGCAAATGGAGAAGTACTGAATATCAGGATTTTGGCCATTCCACTTGATAGGGTGGAAGCACTGCTTTATAGAACTCGTTGTTGAAGCGATTCGTAGATGAAGATTTTGAGTGTAATTTTTTAGTAGACATTTATTATATCTAAGTATCTAACCATAGGAACAGTTGCGAAAATTCCAACTATAGGTCCTCTGGCAAGAATCGAACTGCCATGCGGCCCTGCAATTCGGTGCAGCATCCTAACCAACGAAGCAACAAAGCTCAGTTGTCGAGTTCTGACTGTAAACTATTAAAGCACAAGTATTTTAAAGTAAGCTAATAAGTTTGAGCAACCTACCCTCCTCTTCCAGTGACAAATTCCACGAATGCAGGCTCATTAGTTCGTTCCCTGAATTGAATACAGGTCTTGGCTTCCCATTCTTGCATGGCGGCGCGGATAGCGGTTACTGCTTTTGACTGGGAGGCTACGGAAAAAATATATAAGACAAGCTTAACTAGTTTAAGAAAAACTACTAGTTTAAATGACTAAATAGAGCTACTACTATTGGGGCTAGCTTTAGCATGTACTGAGGACGGCAACGCGATGACTCCCTCAATTACATAATCATAAGGAAAACTTGTCGTTCATTATCCGTTGTGTGAATTTAATGCAGTTTTAGAAGTTAACATGGAGTTTTATAGTTGAGAAGACTTCCACCAAGCCAATTTGCCGAGTACCATGCACTTGGGGTGTCTGGTAGAGTCAAGCTACATGCACTCCTCTCATATACTACTAATACCACAATAAAACCAGAAATACTATAAGTATCAATATGTATATTAAGGTCAGATGTACTTATTCCACTTGTCAATCTGTAGTAAAATATTCCACCAGGCCATCGGTTAGCCTTTCTCCCAGCTCTGGATAAGCTTGGTGGAAGAATGAGATCACCTTCAAAAAGCTCGCCATTGAACTCTATAAAATATGAGGAAAAATTTTAATGTATTAGTTATGAACGATTATAACTAACTTTATCCTTAATGAATATAGTTCGGTTATACTGCTAGTGGTCTAGCTGCAAGAATCGTCCCCTATTTTTTCCGTATCATTGAAGGACGAAAACTATACGAAACGAAACTAACTTTATATATGGATATCAATATACTTAACGTTGTATTAATTTGGCGAAAACCTACAATGTTCGCGGTAAAGTTATAGAAGCTTTCCGGGACTTTCGGTGTATGAACAACCATTATATTCTCAGTTGGAGTTAGGGTAAAATTTACAATCAGGTCAAGTCAGGACCTCGTTTGTTCATACAGCGAGAAAGTACCGAGTTATAAGGGGTTAGGTATTATAATTGGGACGAAAGTCCTGTTCCTCATCCCAGTCACGTATATAGGTTGTCTTGTAACATGTTATGTATATATAGAAAAAAGTCAAAGTGTGCGGACTCGTTCTCATGTTCGACAGAAGCCAAATTCTAATTATAAAAATTTCAGAAATCGAACTTCTTCAAAGTGAAAAGTAGATATGCTCTAATCATTGCACTACCGATTATGTCAAACTTTTCGAAATCTATCCAGTGGCCACTGTACTGTTACCAAATTCTCATTTAACTTACCTCCTTCAGATGGCTCGACTATATCGGCCGAGCAAAATGCTGCAAACAACAAAACGGTACAAACAATCTTCAACATGGTTGATTCTCAATTGAGCTGAAATGCAAAGTAGAATTGAAATCTCCTATTCTCAAGTTCTTTTATAATCCAGTATCTTCGAAAAAATGTTGCAATCATTTGCTCACCTGAATTGATCTTCATGCATCCCGTATGTTTAAAAAGCTGCATTCAACCGATAATTAAAAAAGCCTTTGTGGAAATTGTTTACTGCAGATGTTGTCTGTGTGGTCATCAGTTATTTAGAGCTTAAACATGGATAAATCTGGTTAAACTTTGTGATAAATACAGACATTACATTGATTAAATATCGAAATTTTTGGGTGCTCATAAGGTAAGGCGTGCTGGCTAGGGACGAGACTGCGTCAACTCGTTGTAGGCACCTGGCATTCCTTCTGAATGAATGCAAATTGAAAATAAATACAAATTTACAATACAGGACATGTTATGTCTAAAATAATGTAATCTTTTCGTTTCCTCTTACATGATCTTAGATAATGCAGAATAAAAGTAGTAATACAAGTCCGCCAGTCGCTAATGTTTGGCACTTGCAGATCTTCGCGATTCAAGTATTAACACAGTGATAGTCCTGATACTATATAAACGTTTTCTCAATGACAATGGCCAATCGGAAGCTATGACTTTACTGCATTCAGAACAAATGACGCGACGACGGTAAGCATGATCGGCATGATCATGAAACGATCATGAAACGATCATCAAACGATCTAAACTGTCTCAGAAGAGTCAGAAGCCGGCATGGCTTCTGACTCTTCTGAGACAGTTTAGATCGTTTGCATGATGCCGTCCATTTATAGCGGTTAATGTCTGACTTGAGTCTTACTGTATTAATTTTATTATACGAACGCCGTAACAACTGATATTATTTAAAGAAATATTAAATTCAAATAAAAGAGGAAGTTAACTGGAATACTGGATATATTGCAGATATACTGCATGTGCTTGGCTCAGAGTCAGACGAAAGTCATTTCTGATTATAGATATTATATAATTCTCTAAAATAGCTATGGACCAAACACTATATAAGCGCCGCTCGCTCATACCCACATCGTTGTTAATTGTTGGTTGTACTAACACGTTTTTGTTTACAAACCGACTGTGGTCAAGTTATATGTACGAGTAGCACTTAAGCAAGTCACGACTGTCACTCTAGTGCTTTGTCACGCTTGCGTAAGCTTCACGCTAGCCGAGCTGACATATCATATCAAATATCAATAACCTAAAATCTAGTATATTCGGTTAGTATTGTACTAGTACATATCAAGCAAAAGTAGAGATGGCAAACCGAGCAATTTTAATTAACAATTATTCGCCGAAGGCAAGGTGATTATCGGTGAATAAAAACCGAGACGAAGTCGAGGTTTTTATTCACGATAATCACCGAGCCTGGAGTGAATAATTGTTTTAGTATAATTTCATGGGTGATATTTTGGAAAAAAATAAAAAAATGCACATTTCTTCGTCTTTTAATTGACAAAATGTCTTCGGCCGCCATTTTGAAAATCGCCTAGGTGATTATCGCGTAATAATCACCTCAACGGTAACCAATCAGCGTGGAGAATTTTCAATAATCACCTATGTAATCATATACTAATATTTATTATCCGACAATTCAAAGAATACCGATATTAAATTATTTATTTCTCAAATAAAAAGATATATATAGCCTCGTTGACTGGGGGTCTGTGCCGGAAAAACGGAAATACATTGCCCGAATTTTCCCCGAAAAATTGACAGTTCACCGAATCTGGGCAGGGGGGGGGAGGCTGCAGCCCCCCTCGCACAATTCCCATGCAAACTGACTAAAATTAAAACAGATTGCACAGAATCAATTACATTTTTATCTGAAATAAATAATTTGACATGTGACTATTACTATATAACATTTATTATATAACATTTTAATATACTTTACTATCATATTATACTATACTATACTATACTAAAATTATATTTTATACACGTTATATATATATACGACATAAATTGATAAGCTACCAACAGGTCTCTGGTTTTAATATTCAAGGGATATATCAATCAATAACAAACATCACTGACATAAGTTGCAGGTTTGGGGGCACGTTTCAATCATGACATCAGCATAATCTGGGTGGCAGTAACCTTGAGCATTATATAAAGCGCAGAGGGAAGGATCTTGGTCTACACAAGCTAAAAAAAATTTTTAAAAATATAAAAAATAAAAATGAAAAAAAAATGAAAATCATACTCTATATATAATGAAAAATAAAATAATGTACGGACTGCTTTTTCGATTATTTTTTCCAGGCACACCGTTTGCGCAATATACTGAAGTTGCATGGGATATTTTAGCCTGCGAACAGGCTCTCAAGCTGAATTGAGAGCCTGCATCGATGACTAATGAATTTGAATATCTGCCCCGCAACGTTCGTTTTTCCAAATATGGAATGTATATCCTTATATGGTGTTGTTTACAACTTTCGTGCAAACTAAATTTAGACCGTGCAAACTAAATTTAGACGTACAGTTTATACTGTTTTTCGAAATACAAGATATTGAAGCAAAAGTTCAAATGTTTTAAATACTGTTTTCTCAAAACAGAACATTTCGTGCTTTGAGATAAGATGGTCAAGACCAATTTGATCAGTTAATGTGTTTTTTATGCATAGTGCTTCAGCAGTTGACATATATAGAGCTCAGTGGAAACATATAAATTATAGCATCTGACCAATGAGAATTTCGCGTCGCGATTTGAGACGCAGATATTCAAATTCATTAGTCATCGATGCAGGCTCTCAATTCAGCTTGAGAGCCTGTTCGCAGGCTAGGGATATTTAAGCGTTATAGACCAAACAAGAACGGAATAAAAATGCATCACCAGCCAGGGGGCCAGTTGTAAAAACGTATTAATTAGTATTACGAAAGTCACCGAACTGTGGAATCGCATCGATATCGAAAATTCGTATCGCCGCCACACCCACAAACGTCTACGACCGCACCTACATATTTTTGCATGTTTACAATTCTAAATTTGAACAGCCAACCGGTTCTTGGATTACAATTACAATTGTAAACGTCGATGCGTTCGTAGACGTTTGTGGGAGGACCTAATTTATAGGACTTTATTATTTTGTCCTGTTGTTGGAGTTCAATTGTTATTGCAAAAGTCCTGTTCAATTGTTATTGCAAAATTAATGAAAGTCGGCAAGTGGCGACGATATTTTGAGTGTATTTTAAGGCACAGAGCTTCCTTGGCTTCAAAACAATTAAATTTTGGGCGCCCTTCTAATATTTATAAATATATAGGATAGGTCATGCCAAAAATGCTCTGTGACAACTTTCATGCTTTTACCAATCTTTTGTTACGCCCATGCCCATGACTGAATTTTGTGATAAGCGGTCTGACTATACGATACGTATCTCAAAAAAAACCTTCAAAATTTAGTTTTACATCGAATAGAACTAAACCTAAACGTCCTGATATTTACGCATTCAATTTATTCAATTCTTGTTTAGTTTGCTGAACGATTAACTGTCCCACGCAATTTAGAATATATTGCACAAATGTATGTTTGGGCTCTCAAACTGCTCAAACAAACTGAACAAACACAAATCAATTCGAGACCATTCTTCAAATTAATCAATGTATGTTTTGACCAAGGTGAATTTAGGTGACAGAGCTAATAAGAACTATATATAATGTATAGAATAGTAGATTTTTTGTTTTAAGTGGAATTTCAGAACGTAGCCACCGAGGGGACCCACACCACACGACCAGATTCGAGAGATGCTTATCCGTTCAAAAATGTTGGGGAGCGGGGACGTGTACCGCAATATAACGTCCAACTTATACGGCAAATTTTTCACTAACTATAAACAAACAACACAAAAGGAAGAATTTTTCAAATGCTACATACATATAAGCAAGCACATTTTATTCTTTTTTAAAATTTTTAGTTTTCTAAATCTTTTCGATGAATCTGAATAGGCTGAGGGGCCTCAGATTTTAAACTTTCAACGGGGAGCATGCCACGCCCCCGCACACATGTGGCCCTACGATTCCGGTGCAGCGCTCTAACCAACTGAACTACAGAGTCCAGTTGCTGAGCATTAACCAAAACATCGTATCGTATATATGTAATGGGTGATGCAAAGAAGGTATAATGATATTGATATATCTATCTGCTGTATTAATTCTATCGAGCGAGATCGATGCCCAAAAATCACGATAATTTTATTTTATAGTAATAGAATAACACATACTTGGGTCTGAAGCGGTTGTGGGCGCTGAAAGAAAAAAAAGCTCAAATAGAAAAACATCATTAAAATACGATAGAATCAATTCTGACGAAGGTTTTTAATCCCGTATGGCTTTAAAGTACGCCAGTCTATTTTCGGCATACACCACAGAGTAAGCACATACAGAGGTCTCACTTCTGCGGGAAAACTGTAAGGTAGTACATATCTGCCGCATATCTAGCCTGCATGGCAGGCGGTCCCTAAAATCGGGCAAGCTTAGACCGCCTGCCATGCAGGCTACCGCATATCTGGCGGCCATGTTCTTTGCAAGTGCCCTAAAGAGGGGCACTCACCCCCCCTGGAACATTAATTTCAATATGTTTTCAGGGGGTGACGGCCTCTCATTAGGGTACTTGAAAAATCTCTTACGCTAAATTAACCTGAAGTGAGATCGACCTCTGTATGTACTTACTCTGTGATACCACCGTTCTTCGAAAGCTACATATGCAGGAAGTTTTATATTTGACTTACACACGAAATTTTTATTTTTGGAAGTTGCTGCCAAGAAGGGAAATATAATATCTGGGCCTTCCCAAACGTCCATGATTGTATAAAACGTAATAAACGTACGAGACGAGGGAGCAGAGGGCAGCTACATATGATCCCCCTTCTCCCCCTTCTCCCCCCCCCCTCAAAAAAAAATTCAAATCGGGCAAATTTCGAAACGTAAGTTTGATGGGGAAAATAAATGAAAACCATGGAACATGTAAGATAACAACAACAATTTTAGAAGTTTTAGCAGGGAAAAAATTTTTGTTTGGTTAGCAAAATGTAAAAACGTCTGGAAAATTTCTTTCTGATCCGCTAAATTTTTTCTCTCCCGTAACATATGTCAAACCTACCATATAGCAGTCGCATTCCATTGATATCGTCTTCATGTAGAGTCAATACTCCATTATATCCTTGATAAACAGGATTCATTACAGCTCCAGAGACAAAGGAATGACCGAGGCCTAGGGCGTGACCAATCTCGTGAACAAGCACGGTGTACAGGTTCATCCCAACGCTAGTTTGGTCCGTGAACAACTCGTCATCGTCGAGATGTACTCGGCCATCTTCAGGGTAGTACGCATGCGCGAGTATCGGACCTGTGCCATCGAAAGCTTGAGCACAACCCGTGTGCGAATTTATTTCGAAACTGAAAATAGACCAAAATATTTATATCGATGAATCGGTTGCTGAAAAGTCCCGATGGGAGTGAACTGTATAATGTACATGTATATATGTAATACTAATAATCTTGAACGCGGCAGGTACAGTAAGACCCCGCGTATAAGAACCTAGATTTTAAGAACCTGTTAGGCTAAAATTGCTTATTAGACCCCCTTTATATAAGAACCTGTTTAGGCCAAAATTTCAAACAGGTTCTTATTTTATTTTTATCACTCTAAAAATTATAAACTGATCAAATAAAATAAACTCTTCACAAAGTATTGAGAATGATCCAGAAGCCAGAGACCTGGATAACAATTAATAAACAGCATGTTTGCATGTTTGAACACATCAACAAAAAATAACTGTACCTACACCAACCGAAATTGACTCCCTTTTTAGACTAAATAAGAACCTATTTGAAAACCTGTTTAGCTTAACTTCACGATTTCATTTATATAAGAACCTGTTTAGGCTAACTTGAAAAATCTAGGTTCTTGTACGCGGGGTCTTACTGTAGTATAACCCAGTGGCGGAATTCTATAGGTGGTGGTGGTGGGGGATGGGCGCCCCCAGGGTATGTCGGACATTTGAAAGTTTTGTCGGAAATTTAGGAGGCTTTGCCCCCCCCCACCCCCCGGAAAAAGTGAATTTCCGCCACTGGTATAACCAATAATAACACAACTATGGATTGATAGGGATGCAATTACCTGGAAAATACAAGGAGAACTTCGACGTTTCAAGCAAAGACCCCTCGTCAGGACGTTAGCCAACTACTATTCCCACCACAAATAGTCAAATTCAAACTAATTAACAATTTAGTATTGAACCACGTTACTCCATTTATACCCTTCCGGCTCCAATTGAAAAAAAGGATCCCTCAAATGGCAGTAGAAAAAAGGCGCATGCATGTATCTGCGTGCTTCATAACCCTGACTGGAATTCGCCAATAATAATATTATAACAGGATTCTTTAACTGCCTAATTGATCCGAGAAGATAAACTCTTTATCGCATTATTATTCATGAATAAATTTGGGGCCGGTTGTTGAAAAGCCGGTCAGCTTAACCCTATAGCTTATTAATTAAATTATAATTCAAAGCAAACTTCCCAAAGCTTGTTTATAAACTTGGAAATATTTCTTCAGAAATCTTGTGTGGATCAACTTGCTGGAGTTTTCTTTTCTGCTGGAGCCGGTTGTTCAAAGGTGGGTTAATGCTAACCCTGGGTTAAAATTTGACCCGCTGTTTTAGCTTGTGTATTTCTACACGTCTGTTTATTTCAAAACTTCACAGAAGTATACGATACTCCTATCGATCCAGGCAAGATCTCTGAAGAAATATAGACAAGCTGTCAGGAAGTTTGCTTTGAATTTTAGGTTATAACATAGGATAGGGTTAAACTAACCCAGCTTTGAACAACCTGCAATTTTGTAACAAACAGGGACCGGTTGTTCAAAGCTGGGTTAGCTTGACCCTGGGTTAACCTAAAATTCAAAGCAAACTTCCTGACAGCCTGTCTATAAATTTGGAAATATTTCTTCAGAGATCTTGTCTGGATCGATAGGAGTTTAGTTCTCTGAAGTTTTGAAATAAACAGACGTGCAGAAATACACAAACTAAAGGTTAAATTTACACAAACTAAAGGTTAAATTTTAACCCAGGGTTAGCGCTAACCCACATTTGAACAACTGGCCCCAGACGTGCAGAGATACACAAACTGAAATGGCGGGTTAACTTTTAATCCAGGGTTAGCGTTAATCCCCAGCTTTGAACAACCGTGGCCCCAGTGCAATAATACATATATACATATATAGCTATATATATACTCACGAAAACTTAATATCAGCTTCAACCACATTTTGAGTGTGAGCAAAGTCTAACTCAGGCACGGAATTTTTCCATAACTGAAATGCTTGGGCAGCAATGCTGTGCTGCTGTGCTACGGTAAGATCAGAACTGTATTTTTCAAAGGCATACGTGAAACTCGGTTTCCTCCAAGCAGGGTTCAGATCATAGCGGCGAACACGTTTGGAGTTTTTGCCCTTCTTTTCCTTTATGTCTTTGTTGCCACAACGAGGTAGTTCTATGAATTTCGCAAGATCTTCGTCTGTAGTCGTGTTGTCAAATTGAAACAGGATCCTCAATTTCGTCACGGCCAGTTTTATTTCGTGTGGACTGAACGAGTTCATTGAGGAGGCATATCCGTATTGGACTAAGAATTTCTGAAAGTAAAAGAAAAATTATGTGTTATTCATGCAATTTGAAGACAAACTAAGTATTCCTTTTGAAAGAGCAATGTATCGCATTATATCCACGATCTATCCAGGACCAAGATCCAGCGATCTCAGAAACGGACATTGTACGACCTATTCCGTCCCGTGTCCGCGAGGTAAAGAGGAAACCACTGGACGTTCTGTCCGACCTAAGTTAATTAAACTCAGGCTTATTGTTTGTCCGACCCGAGTGTATTGGTGTCCGACCTATAACTGTAACTTTTTCTACAACGTAAATCAAAATGTGCCCTATAGTCCAGGACTAAAGGCTCGTTTGTTAAACTGAGTCAGAGTAATGTATAAAAAGTGAACTGGAAATGTGTGATCAAGTACTTGTGCAGAGTTTTCACCGTGAGGTTGGAAAATTACAACTTAAGTTGTACTCGGTGTAAATCAAGCACACAATAACTCACCTATACGACAACGTATAGACGAGTTGTGTACTTGATTTGCATAGTATCACTCGAGTTGTAAACAGGCCGGTATACGTTGCATGCGACAGTTTTAGGCAAAAGTTGTGTAATCGGTAAATCGCCCTTTACCAGATAATTGACATTTCCTTGGCAAGGGCCTCGCCGCTTACGATTTGCCGCATGTTTGATTTGACTTTAACGCATCAATGAACCATCACAATATACAGTATTGTACTTGCCTTCCATTTACCAATTTTCCAACCATTACCGTTCTGTTTACCATTACCGTTTTGTTTGTCTTTGCCCTTTTTATCTTTAGAGTTCTTACTTTGCGTTAAAGCGAAGAAGACGAAAAGTAGAGCGAAAGATAAAACGACAGAAATTTTCATTTTGACTTGTATTAAGTCGACGTCTCAAACTTTTTCCTTGAAATTTCAATGTACGTGTCTCGACTTGTGTGTCCGACGGTTTTGCCAATTTGCCGAGATGCTTCGCTTAAAAAGGCTCGGAATTAATCTATTTTCAATTATCGATCTTTCAGTGGAGGTTATTTCCACGCAATTCAATTATGCCTATAGTGTTTTTCCTGTGCGTATGGAGACACGCTGGTGTGCTATTAACATGGCGATTTGAGAAATTAGTATACCCAACATGTCGGCCATAATTTTAATCTATTTAGTCGGCCTCTTGAAAGTGGTGCAAGTAAAAATGCAAAGTAGACCGAATTAAATTGGTCGTAAAAATAAATTGCGTAATTATACACAGAGGATAAAAATACAGTTGCTCATTCACAATTTATATTCACGTTTGTTTGAGAAATATTAAATACGATTAAGCAAATGTTATATGTAAGAAATTAAATTTGAACCCGCCGGCTAAACAGTCTAGCTAGCCGGGGAGGTTTAACTTTCGGGTTTTATTTGATTATAGTTTTTAATAAGTTTACTATGCACGCATTTAGCGAGTTCACTGATTTTTATATAACTGGATAGAGCAACCTTATAAATTCAGGGAATTTATTTTAAAGCCAGAATATTTATATATAAACGCACATTGCGAGAAGAGACCTTTAAATCTGTCACATTCCTGTCATTCCTTACGAATCAAATCGTTACGTGTTTAAATTTGCCGATACTACCAAGAAAATGTTTTTTTTCCACTAACTAAACAAATATCCAGTTTCCACATCTCTTCTAATGAGTTTTAGATCGTTTTAACACGCAAGATCATGAGACTTTTGGCGGCCATATATCAATTGATGTGATTGACCATTAAAGGCACAGTTCAGCCTTTTGAACGATGTTTTTAAGGCGCATTTCAGCCCTTTTAATTGAAAAAACTAACCAGGAAAATCAATTAAGCATAATTGAAGATCAGCAAACGTAATGTTTTTAACATTTTAAAAAAAAATTGAGTTTACTGATCTTGAATTGTAATGTATAATTGATTTTTCTAGTTAGTTTTTTCAATTAAGGTGGCTCCCTACAGTTATAGTCCAGTTTAAAATATTTATATAGCTCAGACATCATCCTCGCGACTCGCGCGTGGAATCGTCGTGGCCCGGTAAAAATCTTGAAACAAGTAAACAAGCCGCGGGAAGTTGTTTTTGTATTTTTATCTACAAAGAAAACGCCAGTTTTTATTATAATCCTAAACTTTTCAACATTCGAACAGTACGTATGTTGTTAGCTAGTTTTTACCTACATTCAGTGTGTTTTTTTTTATATATTTAATATGTTCAGTACTGTATTTCATAATGCTCACAATGTTCAACAACAGTGTCACGGACTGAAATTATATTTTATACTGTCTTGAAGGTTTGTTTCGTATTTTGAATACATATATCTTTTATTTTCATTTCAAATAAGTAAAAAATATCTGTGTGATACATATAAGCCAAAAACTCAAAGAGAAAATTGCTAAAAAAGCCAACTATAAACCGTACGCGTTTCGTGTTCCCCACGCAAATAGTGATCATCTCGAATCGATAAGTTTGTCACGTCAACAGCTTCAACTGGATTTAGGACTATTTTTCTCGCGTTTCCTTCGGTGAAAGTTTTTTAAACTTTGCACGTTTGCTAAGCATGACGATTCGCCAAATTAACATATCAAAATTTCAAGAAATTCTATAAGACAGATTTTTTGTAGTCGTTATTCATGAATATCTCAAAACCGGCCTTATAAACATCCCTTCAAATTTTAATATGTCGTTCCCCTTTCAACCATAAATCTTAAAAAATAAATTCAGAAAAATTGACCGAAGGAAAAAAAAGATATTGCCGTTTGATTGTAAAATTAGACATGGAGTTCAGAAAGTTTTGTTTAATCGACTATTGCTGTGAATATGGCGTCAAGTTCAAAGCATCGTTAATAATTGTATTGTAACGGACAATTTTTACTGCTATTTTATGTTTCTCAACCGGAAGAGGCATTTAAAAATGCATCTAACTGCATGTATAAACTAGAACATAAAGCTAAGACAGGGCAGTTTTGAAGGTTTTGCACACTTTTCATCGCAAATACGAGACAAAGAAAAAATTGCCTGTTAACAACAACTAACCTTCCAATGTCCAATTTTATTTCCTTTGCTACAAAGCAGGCTACCACTTTTCATTCCACTTTTCTGCCTTTTACCTTTTCTTCCACTGCTTCTTCTTTTCGATTCACAAGAACAAAAAAGCAAGATAAGTATGAAAACCAAGTAAGCAGAGAGTTTCATGGCTGACTTGTCTCCCTGGCCAGCTCGGTTAAGGCAAATTAATGCGCATTGATATATAAATTGTCTGTCGATATGCGTGCATGCATTGATATGCGATATGTAGCAAGTGTTAAAATTGCAGTATTTTCACACAACATCAATTGCCAAGAACAAGCCTTCTAATTAACGATATGTTGGCAAAATCATATACTAATTGCATGATATATTACAATAGGTGTGTACGACAATAACAAGACAATGGGGTTGTTCTGATCACAAGACGCCTTTTCTATTAGTGGGAACCAAGTGAAAGAAAACAGAATATAACAACATACTCTATGAATTGAGCCAAGGTTTCGTTGAGAAATTACACAGCCAGGTTACTAATAGTTAAATATAGAGGCGAGATAAGTAAAAGGTGTTAAATATAAACGAATATCAATTTCAGTATATCCAACAGAAAAGGTAACCCACCTCAATTCTGTTTTATTGCTAGATAACTTATGTACTTATTTTAGCTATAAAAAAAAAAACTAAACATTAATGAGGTGGGTTTCGTTCAATTCGATTTTCCCAGCTCCAAACTTTCGTCTGAATACCAGTCGATTGACACACTGATTTGCCAAACCCCCCGTTCCCGACAGCAAAATTGCTCGCGCATTAGTAGTAACGTAGCATGCGTGGGAAAGACAGACGGTCATCATTTCGTTACAGTGATACCGCTCCTCTTGTATTAGAATTAACAGGCTGAAATAGATATACTACTTATGCAAACAAACAGCCCATGAGCGCAATCACATCAAACACTTATAATGGTAGCGATAGAGCTTGGATAGAAACCCAAATCTATATACTCACTGTAGAAAGAATTAGTGCTGCTGATATTTATAGGACGGTAAATGTATATAGCCATGCACTTTAATGTGGCGAAGTTGAACTATTTAGCAAATGAGGGGTTTCTCTCCAGTTTATAGGCTGGGGCCACCTCACCACAAAGTTACGCAACAGATTAATCTAGTTTTCGTCTCCGAATGAATATTTCAGTCTTTGAATAATTGGTTGAAGATTCCGATCTTCGAACGCTGAAAGATTGAAATGAAGATTCCAATCTTTGGATGTTCGAACTTTCTTAATGTATTAATGTTTCATGGTTGTTTTTTTTTACAATACGTTTAATTAATGTAGAACTGGTCATATTTAGCAGAACATTTTGTTGAGGGTCTCAATGACTTGTTATCACAGAGCCAACATTTTCTCCTTCGTTTGCTATATTTTACCATCAGATACATATATATTTGCACTCCTGCGCTGTTTTAACATGTTCCCTCGTCGTGTAGCTGGTAGGACTTCGACATAAAGCAATGTGTAATGTGTTCATTCCATTGTACTTGGCCATCTATATTGAACATTTGTAATACACGAGAATTTCTTTAGTTACAATATAAATCATATCATACATTATTTAGTGATAACACCGGTATACTGTTTTGCTGATGATCTGGCGCACATAAGAATACTGGCATAGGAAATAACTTTAAGTTGGAGGAGCACTTTGTTTTAAGAGCATTTCTTCTCAATTTGGGAAAAGGGCACATTGAAGAAAACTTGCAATTGGGGGCCCTATATGCCGTCCAGTTCCTACCCCACTAGGCGTTACATTTAAATTTCATCTGAAATTACGAACATTTTTATTCAGTTAGTTTGATATGCGTGTACCCTGCGAGCAAAATATGCATAATGAGCTATCAGTCTCAGATTAAGTTGTATATCAACAAAATCGTTTTATAGAAATGTAGT